ATTTCCCCCCCCCACCCCCCGACTCAGGCCCAGCCCAACGCCCAGAGGGATCCGAGGCTGCCTGTCCCGCGTCGCTCACCCCTGCTCCTCCATGAGCTCGGAGAGCTCGAGGCATTTCAGCTCGACTTTGCGCTTCCGTTCGTGGTCCAGGATGTCTCTGTTGGGCCGCTTGGGCAGCGCGGCGGCGTCGGCACGGCGCAGCTCTTCGTCGGCGCGGGGCTCGGCTCGCTCCCTCTTGTGCCGCAGGGCCGACAGGTTGCGCTGCACGTAGCCGTTGGTGCCGCTGCCCCGCGGCGTCGGCAGCCCGATCCCATTGTACATGGCGACCGCGCTGCCGCCCCTGCGGGGGGCCCCCACGTCAGCGCCCCCCCGGGCCCCACACCCACGCCGGACGGACCCTCTATGGGACCCCGCTCGTCCCCAGGGAATCCCCTATGGGACGGCTATGGAATCCATACATCCCCAGGGAATCCCCTATGGGACGCCTATGGAATCCATACATCCCCAGGGAACCCCCTATGGGACTCCGTTCATCCCCAGGGAACCCCCTATGGGACGACTATGGAACCCATACATCCCCAGGGAACCCCCTATGGGACGCCTATGGAACCCATACTTCCCCAGGGAACCCCCTATGGGACGCCTATGGAACCCATACATCTCCAGGGAACCCCCTACGGGACCCCGTTCATGCCCAGGGAATCCCCTATGGGACGCCTATGGAACCCATACTTCCCCAGGGAATCCCCTATGGGACGCCTATGGAACCCAAACTTCCCCAGGGAATCCCCTAAGGAACCCATACATCCCCAGGGAACCCCTTATGAGACGCCTATGGAACCCATCCATCCCCAGGGAACCCCCTATGGGACTCCGTTCATCCCCAGGGAATCCCCTATGGGACGCCTATGGAACCCATCCATCCCCAGGGAAACCCCTATGGGACACCTATGGAACCCATCCATCCCCAGGGAATCCCCTATGGGACGCCTAAGGAACCCATACATCCCCAGGGAATCCCCTATGGGACGCCTATGGAACCCATACATCCCCAGGGAACCCCCTATGGAGCCCCTATGGAACCTATACATCCCCAGGGAACCCCCTATGGAATCCCTATGGAACCCACACAGCCCCCTTTTCACCCCAATATTTCCTTCACAAAACGCACAAACCCCACTTTCCTTCACTAAAATTCCACTTCTTTCCCTCAAAATCCCCCCTTTTCCCTTCACAATCTGACCCAAATTTCACTGTTTCTCCCCAAATGTTGCATTTTTTCCCCTCAAAATCCCCAAATCCCACTTCTTCCCCTCAAAATCCCAATATTTCCCCTCGCAAACTGCCCCAAATCCACTTTTTTCCCCTCAAAATCCCCCTTTCCCCCAATATTCCACATTTTTCCTCACAAACTGCCCCAAATCCCACTTTTTTCCCCTCAAAATCCCCCTTTTCCCCCCTCAGAAAATACCCAAATTCTACTTTTTCCCCCAATATTCCACATTTTTCCTCGCAAAATGACCCAAATCCCACTTTTTTCCCTTCAAAATCCCACTTTTCCCTCACAAATCCCACCTTTTCCATTACAAACCACCCAAACTCCACTTTTTCCCCCACTATTTTCCTCACAAACCCCCAAACTCCACTTTTTCTCCCCAATATTCCATGCGTTTCCTCACAAAATCCCCAAATCTCACCGTTTACCCCTCAAAATCCCACTTTTCCCCTCACAAACTGCCCCAAAACTCCTCTTTTTCTCCCCAATATTCCCTATTTTTCCTCACAGAACGCCCAAATCCCTCTTTCCTTCACCAAAATCCCACTTTTCCCCTCACAAACTGCCCCAAATCTCCACTTTTCATCCCCAGTTTTCCCTTTTTCCTCACAAAACACACAAACCTCGCATCCCTTCGCTGAAATCCCACTTTTTCCCCTCAAAATCCCAATATTTCCCCTTGCAAACTGCCCCCAATCCACTTTTTTCCCCTCAAAATCCCCCTTTTCCCCCAATATTCCACATTTTTCCTCACAAACTGCCCCAAATCCCACTTTTTTCCCCCCAAAAAATCCCACTTTTCCTCA